CTATATCGTATGACAGATCACCCAAGTCTTAGCAAATTTAAGATTTGAATCATATGAAATATCTTTCCCAACTACAATGGTATTAAACTAAAAACCAGTAACAGGAGGAAAGCTGAAAAAATCACAAATACATGGACATTTTAAAATACACTCCTGGTGCTAAAGATGAAAGATGAAATATCACTGGGACCAGTCGGATGAGGCACCTAAACACAAGAGGGCAGCTGTTGCGGCATCCAGATCATCTTAAAGATTTCAACAAATAGTTACACAATAAATGTTCTGGTTTTGAAAAATAAAATAATTAATTAATTAATTAATTAATTAATTAAAAAATAAAATACATTCCTCCCAAGAGATCAAAGAAGAAGTCAAAATATATCTTGAAACAAACAAAAATAGAAACAAAATAAACCAAAATTTATAAGATGCTGCAAAAGCAATTCTAAAAGGTAAATTTATAGTGGTAAATGCCTACATTAAGGAAAAAGAAAGATCGCAAGCAAACAACCTAACTTTGCACCTCAAAGAACTAGAAAAAGAAGAACAAATTAAGCCCAAAGTTAGGAGAAGGAAGAAAATAACAAAGATCGAAGCAGAAATAAATTAGAAACCAAAAATAATCAAAAAGATCAGCAATACCAAGAAATGTTTTTTAAAAATATAAACAAAATTGACAGCTCTTTAGCTAGGCTAAGAAGGAGAAGAGAAGACGCAAATAAAATCGGAAATGAAAGAGTAGACATTACAACTGATGCTACAGATACGAAGGATCATAAGAAACTACTATGAGTAATTATATACAACAAACCGGATAACCTAGAAGAAATAAATTGCTAGAAACACAATCTATCTAGATTGAATCATGAAGAAATAGGAAATATCAACAGACCATAACAAGCAAAGAGACTGAATCAGTAATCAAAAACCTCCCAACAGAAAAGCCTAGGATCACACAGTTTCATTGGTGAATTCTATCAAACATTTAAAGAAAAATTAATGGTAATTCTTCGCAAACTCCTCCAAAAAATTGAGGAGGATAGAACACTCCCAAACTCATTTTGTAAGGCCAGCATTACCCTAATATCAAAGCCAAATAAGGACACTACAAGAAAAGAAAACTGCAGACAAATATCCCTGATAAATATAGATACAAAAATTCTCAACAAAATACAAGCAAACTGATTTCAACATCAAAAGGATCATACACCATGATCAAGCAGTACTTACCCCTGGGACGTGGAGGTTCAATATATGCAAACCAATAAATATGATAACTACATTAATAGAATGAAAGGTAAAAATAATATGATCATCTCAATAAATGTAGAAAGAAGCATTTCACAAAATACAACATCCTTTCATGATAAAAATGCTCAACAAATTGGGTATAGAAGAAACACACTTCAACATGATAAAGGCCAGTAGCAACAAGCCCACAACTAACAGCATTCTCCGCGATGCAAGGCTGAAAGCTTTTCCTCTGAGGTCAGGAACTAGGCAAGGGTGCTCACTCTCACCATTCCTCTTCAACCACTTCCTTCAGCAGGAAGTCCTAGTGAAAGCTATCAGGCAAGGAAAGGAAATAAACTGCATCCAAATCAGAAAAGAACAGGCAAAACTGTCTCTGTAGATGATGTGATCTTACACATGGAAAATCCCAAAGACTCCACTCATAAAACTGATCAGTACATTCAGTAAAGCTGGAGGACACAAAATCAACATACAGGAATTACTCGTATTTCTAAGCACTAGAAATAAAATAACTGAAAAAGAAATAAAGAAAACAATCTCATTCACAATAGCATCAAAAACAATAAAGTATCTAGGAATAAATTTAGCTAGGGAGGTGAAAGATCTGTATACTGAAAAGTACAAGACTTTGATGAAAGAAAATGAAGAAAACAGAAATCACGAGATATCCCATGTTCATGGATCAGAAAAGTTAATATTGTCAAAATGCTCACACTACCCAAAGTCATCTATAGATTCAGTGACTCCCTATCAAAATTCCAAAGGCATTTTTCATAGAAATAGAAAAAAAATCATAAAATTTGTATGGAACCACAAAAGATCCCAAATAGCCAAAGCAAAACCAAGGAAGAACAAAGCCAGAGGCATCACATTTCCTGATTTCAAGCTATATTTTGAAACTATGGCAATAAAACAGCATAGCAGTGGCGTAATAGACACACAGACCAAAGGAACAGAATAGAAAGCCCAGAAGCAAACCCCCACATTTACAGTTGACTGGAACTTGACAAAGGAGCCAAGAAGACTCAATGGGCGAAAGAACACCTCTTCAATAAATGCTGTTGATAAAGCTGGATAACCACATGCAGAAGGATGAAACTGGACCTCTATCTTACACCACCAACAAAATGAACTTGAACTGGATGAAAGAATTAAACATAAGACCTGAAACTATAAAACTCCTAGAAGAAAACATAAGGGAAACTCCTTGACATTTGTCTCGGCAACAAGGTTTTCATATGACACCGAAAGCACAACCAACAAAAGCAAAAAGTAGTAAGTGGGACTACAGCAAACTGAAAAGCTTCTTGCACAGCAACAGACACAACAAAATGAAAAGGCAGCCTACAGAACGGGAGAAAACATTTGCAAATCATACATCTGATAAGGGGTTAATATCCAAAATAAACAAACAACCCATACAACTCAATAGCAGAAAAACACAAAAAAATACAATTTAAAAGTGGGCCGAAGCTCTGAACAGACATTTTTCCAAGAAGACATTCAAATGGCCAACAGGTACATGAAAATATGCTCAACATCACTAATCATCAGGGAAATGCAGATCAAAATCACAATGAAATATCACCTCATACCTGTCAGCATGCAATCATCAAAAGACAAGAGATGACAAGTGTTGGCAAGGATGTGAAGAAAAGGGAACCCCTGTGCACTATTGGTGGAAATGTAAAATTGGCACAGCCACTATGGAAAACAGCATGGAGGTTCCTCAAAAAATTGAAAATAGAAATACCATATGATTCAGCAATTCCACTCCTGGGTATAAAGCCAAAGGAAATGAAAACAGGATATTGAAAAACCATCTGGACTCCCATGTTTACTGCAGTATTACACACAGTAGGCAAGATATGGAAACAACCGAAGTGGCCATCAACAGATGAGTGGCTAAAGAAGACGCAGTGTGTACGTATGTATGTATATATGTATATGCATATATATGCACATATGTGTAATGGAGATTATTTAGGCATGAGAAAGAAGGAAATCCTGCCATGTGTGACAACATGGATGGACCTTGAGGACATTAAATTAAGTGAAAGAAGTCAGAGAAAAACAAACACTATATGGTGCTGCTTACATGTGGAATCTAAAAAAGCTGCACTCATAGAAACAGAGTTGAATGGTGGTTACAAGGGGTTAGGGGGAGATGCTGGTCAAAGGATGCAAAGTTCCAGTTCTAAGATGAGTAAGTTCTGGGGCTCTAATGTACAGCAGGGCGGTTATAGACAATAATACAGTGATTATAGCTAATAATTATATACCTGAAAGTTGCTAAGATGGTAGATTTCAACTGTTTTCACTATGCACACAAAAAACCTGATAATTATGTGACATGATGGAGGTGTTAGCTAAAGCTGTGGTGGTAACCATTTTGCAATATATAAGTGTACCACCTAAAACTTACACAATATTATATGTCAATCATATCTCGATAAGGCTGGAAAATTTTTAAAAAGTCCTTCTCAAGAAAAACAAAGACCTGACTAACTAGATGAGTATAGTTTGATCATTAAAAGTCCTAGCAACCTAAACATCCACCGACAGATAACTGAATAAAAAAGACGTGGTATATTTATACAATGGAATATACTCAGCCATAAAAAGAATAAAATAATGCCATTTGCAGCAACATGGATGGACCTGGAGATTCATACTAAGTGAAGTAAGCCAGAATAAGAAAGAAAAATGCCACATGATATCATTTATATGTGGAACCTAAAATAATGAGACAAATGATCTTATTTACAAAACAGAAACAGACACACAGACAGAAAACAAACTTGTGGTTACCAGGGGGAAACGGGATGTAGGGATAAATTGGGAGTTTGGGATTTGCAGATACTAACTACTATGTGTAAAATAGATAAACAACAAGGTCCTACTGTACAGCACAGGGAACTATATTCAGTATCTTGTAATGGCCTATAATGAAAAACAATATGAAAACGAATATATAGATATAGATATAGATATATCTGAATCACTATGCTGTACAACCAGAAATTAATACAACGTTGTAAACTGACTACACTTACATTCAAAAATAAATAAATAAAAAAATAATTTAAAAATTAAAATCCTCATTGGGGTCTGTAAGAATCGTTTTAATTATCAGCAGTTTTTGTCTCATCGTGTAAAGACACAGTTTTTCAAAATGGCGCTGCTGAGCCCAAATACCCCTCACCCTTCTTTCTATCACTAGTCTGGAGCTAGAAGTCAAATGGCAA